ATTATCACCACACCCCAGCAATGATCTCTTCTGGTCAGTAACAATTGAAGCAGCAAATATTCTCAAACATGAGAGTATTTTGTTGATCATTTTGCACCACCATTTTGGCCTACAGTTTTCTTCTTTGTAGTGTCCTGGTATCACGGTAATATTGGCTTTGTAGAATAAGTTTGTAGTGCTCCCTTCCCCTCAATTTTTGTAGAGTTTTGAGAAGTCAGTGTTTATGGTAGAATTTCCTAGGTAAGCCATCTAGTCCTGAGATTCTTTGTTGGGAGTTGGGAATTCACTCTTACTAGTTATGTTTTAAAATTTTAAATAAAAGGAAAAAAAAAACCCAATAAAAACAATGATACACTTTTTTTTTTTTTTTTTTTGAGACAGGGCCTCATTATGTAGTTCAGGCTGGCCTTGATCTTGTGGTGATCCTCCTGCCCCAGCCTCTTGGATGCTGGGATTATAGGTGTGTGCCACTGCCTGGGTGAAAATTCTATCTTCAGCCTCCTGAATAGCTTCCTTTTAGTAGTCTCCTTTCCTCTAGCATTACTGTTATTTTGTAACTATTCACTCTCACACTGCTCTCGGGTTTTGTAGTCCTCACCTTCAGTGTCCCAGGACATCACGTCTAACTCATCACCATACACTCAGCACCTAGCAGTAGGGTCTTTTTATGATCTTTATTTCTGTTCTGGAGCTCAAATCCTAGGCCTTGAACATAGGAGGTAAGTGCTATACCTCCAAGTTACACTTCCAGGCCCTGGAATAATTTTTTGGGGGTACTGGGTTGAACACAGTATCTCAGCACTGCTATATTGTAGCCTTTTAAAGGTTTTTCAAGGCAGGGGCTTGTTAAGTCACAAAGTTGTGCAGGGTGAGCTCAAACTTGCAATTTTCAGCGTCCTAGAGTACTGGGATTATAGCTATGCACAACCATACCCAGTCTGGACACTTCTTTAAAAGCTATCCTTCCCTCTATTTCCAGCATTTGGGAGGCTGAGATGGGACAATCATTGGGAATTTGAGTGCAGCCTGGACTACATAGTGAGTTTAAGGCCAGACTGAACTGCATAGTGAGACCTTGCCTCCAAAAAAGAAAGCATTGTCCCTCATTCCTTGTCTCCCTCCCTTGGCCTTTCTCCTGTGCCCTTTGCTGGATGTCTGTGGTAAGCAGGCAGTTGGTTGTACTCGCATAAAAGGGTGACCAAGTCTCTGCTCCTGCTCCTCAGTGAAGCATCTAGCAGAAAGCACTTCTCTGCAGACATCAACTTGCTCTCTGGACACTGTCAGGAGGCCACGGAGGTTGGAGTAAAGGTGCACGTGTGAGGCACTGCAGTGCTGGGTAAGGATGAGCTCTGGGGCTCACCTGCGCATACCCAGGGCTGCTGCTCTGCGCATACCCAGGGCAGCGGGTCTCCTGTGGCGTGGAGACCCACCAGACCCCTGTACCCTGTCTTTACCTTGAGGGTATTAGGAGGACAGTGGGGGAAAGTATTTGTGTTTTACAGGACTCACGTGCAGGCATTTCTAATCTATCTTTTCCCTTGGGTTTTACCAGAGAGAAAAATTAGTAGTTTCATAAGTAATTATTTCTAAAACAATGGATAAAAGAAAACTTGTTTTTAGCCAGGCATAGTGGTACATGCCTGTAATTGTAAAGGCTGAGGCAGGAGAGTCACAGTGAAGTTTGAGGCCAATCTCGGCTACACTGTAAGTTTAAGACCTGCTTCAAAAATATAAAAGAGTTTCTGCTGGTGGACACTGCGGAGGAAGCATCATCAGGCTCTCTTCTGACTGCCGTCATGTCTACGTCAGAGTCTCCCAAGGAGCCCGAACAACTACAGAAGCTCTTCATCGGAGGGCTGAGCTTTCAAACAACTAATGAGAGTCTGAGGAGCCATTTTGAGCAATGGGGAACACTCAC